TATATATATTAGGAAAATCTATGACAAAGTGAAAAAAATGAGTTAAATAGTAGAACTTGTATTTTAAAGTCATTATTTGGAATTCAAAAGTGTATAAAATAATAGTAGTGTCTAGGGAATGACTCCTTTTGACACCATGGTCTTTGGTGTTTTTTCGCAGACTCGAAAGTTAATTATTGCCAATTTTTTATGAGCGAGGCTATTTTCCTTGGCTTAAACTCCTTGAAAGTCACAGATATGCACTGAAGTGGTAACTACATACTGGTTTTTTAAACAGTCATGGGGAGGGACATTTTTAATATTTAATAAGTGTCCCAATTTGTGTGATTTTGAGATGGTTGAACATAACCTTTCAGAAAATGTATTGTTTTTACCTATTTTGGTAACAAAAAATTACTAACTTTGGTCTTGAAAAATTCAGCGACTCAAGGTTAATGAGAAATTAATTTTAAATACAAATTTTTACATCTTTTTATTGTGTTTTTCTTATCCTTCTGTATATCTTTTTTGTCCTCACAAGAAAAAAAAACTAAGAATTCTCAATTTTTTTAATGATTTTTTCCATTTGAATATGTATTTTTTCATGTTCAAACTATAAAAATAATAAAATGTAAATTTTGTAAAAAAAAAAAAATGTTTGTAAAAAGTCAAAAAGTTCATTTTGTTTGCTTGCATTTAAAAGTTTGTCTTTATTTTTTTCGTATCATTCAAACTACAGTATTTATATCTTCCCAAAATTGATAACTTAAAACCAAAAAATCTGAATTTCTGAGAGTTATCATTATTGACATTATCTACATTTAACTAATGTCCTCATCACAATGTTTTGGCTGTTGTAGCCTCTGGCCTTCTTCAGGTGACTGTTGATCCAGGTAACCTTCAGGGAATTTTGAACTGAAGAAGGCCAAAGAATAGATTGGCCATAATCCCTAGACATGAACGGTGGAATGAAAACAATGTTCCACATTGAGTAAATAAATAATCTATGTGGGTAGATTGTTCTCGTTCCATGATCCATATCTAGGGATATCATGTCTCGTTCTTTTTTAGCACTTCTCAATTATTGCTCACCTGCCGAGTGGATTAAAGTATTGGTTTTTGAATTTTGTGACATAGTAATTGTGAGTTCAGTCCCTGAGTCAGTTAGTACAGACTCAGATGAATACTCAGTGGAAACAAAGGGAGCAATAACTGTGATAATGTGATAATGACAACAAAGATGAGGATATTCATCTAAATGTAAGTAATGTAAATAAAAGCAAAAACATTGTGTTTGTTTGTTTGTTTGTTTTTTCCTTCAATTAAAAAAAATTATATGAAAGAAAATCTCTGCAAAATCAATTTTTTCGATTTCACTGAAAATTGCAGACTGAACTTTTCTTAAAATAATTTTTAATTTTTTCAAAAAAAAGACAAAACATTACCCATGATCTCAAACATGGACTCTGGCCTCTACTTCAGAGACCGTTAATTAATTTGTCAATATTTGACACAAACACCTGTACAATGGCATAGCTAGAATGTGTGCAGCCCAGGGCAATACTTGATTTGCTGCACCCACAAAAAATACATATTGCACAGTGTCTCACTCTTAAAATTATATTTATATACAAACTAGTTTGTGTACTACAGTGAAAAAGCAGTAAATTCAGAACGACATGAGACAAACATTGAAAGCTGCTGATGACTGATGCGACTGAAAACTTCAGGAAGAATTTCTGCACATTTCGTCAATCCCCACATCAGATGTTCTTCTTTGAAAAGTACAATAACTTGATGCTCAAAATCAGTGATTGGTTTAGCCATACAAGAAGGGCAGAACAAAATACGAAAGTTGTCTTCAAGTAACCTTTAAATAATGAGTCTCAAAATCGATCAGCAATTAATCAATCATAAAAGAAACAGAGTTAAGTAATTACACAAGAGTCAAATGATTATTCAAGGTTATGAATATTCAAGAAATTTATTTACTCTGTAGACAGTAGGTAAACTATGGCATATGTATTGGTCTAAGTTATTTGAAATTGAAAAGGTCCTTCAACTGTGAGTACTGTCTCGACATTAAAACACCTTTTGTTTTAATACAGCTTATACAAGCTTATAACAAAATTGCAGCCCACATAAAAGTGCCATCTGGGACAGACAGCAACCACTGCCCCACTCTATCTATGACACTGCATCTGTGTATTGGCTATGCTTATCCCTGTTTTTTGAAATACCTTCTCATCATTACGCCTCAAATGGAATAAACCCAAGACATTATTATTCCAGATATTTTGTAGACTACTATAAAGTTCTTTATTGTCATTCACAAAATATTTTGGTCAACCTGTTCTTTGGCTTTCTTCAAATGTGGATTGCCTCCACTTGTTTCTAGTTATTGCATTAGAAGTAGAAACCTCCCGGGCAGATATGAGGGTAATGCAATGGAAACTGGGGAAAAGGCAATGAGAAACCACTTCATTATCTTTCCTAAAAAGACTTAGCAATTCAAAGATGATAAACAAAAGGGAATCTGTGGAGATCCATTATCTCTTATATCCTGAAAGGACATACCATTTAAAGAGAAAATATACCACTATAAGCAACACTGTATTGAAAATCATGGAGAAGGCAATGAAAAACTACACCATTGACATTCTTAAGAAGCCAGAACAAGTCTAAGATAATAAAGAAAAGGAATCTGTGGAGAGACATGATTGCCAACATGCTGTAGGAAAATGGAAATTTGGTTTGTTAATCTAGTGAATGCAAAAAATAAGAGAAAATTTGAAGAATATATTGACTAAAAACATTTTAACAGCAAAGATGAAAGCAGTAGTCTGAAGTAATTTTGGAAAATTTACCCTAAAAAATTTTAAGATAATTACCAATAAATTATAATTGATCACCAATGATAAAGATTCTCACTTTATCTAAAGACTAGAAGAATTAAGATTCTAGAATACTGATTGGTTAAAGAGTAAATGGTTTAATGAAAGGATATCTTTCCTTTCAATGCTTGTCAAACCAAATAATAATTATCAATGTGTATTTATTTATATTTTTCCTGTCTCATCTATAGTGGAAAGGGAGGTAAATCGATTTAAGTTAGAAAAATAAATGAGTAATTACTTCCCTTAGTCATTTTAATAATCTATGCAAATAATTATACAGAATACGGAATACAGAGAAATGTGGGTGATTTGCTACTATATAAGTAGCATGGTTGGTCCTAGCCATGAAGGAACCGGGAGATGCAGTTTGTCCAAGCACTTTTCAGGGTAGTAGCAATAGAACAGGGAGAGGCTTGCCACATCCTACCTGTGAGAGAGAAGTTGGAGTGTGGAAAATAATTCATCTCTCACAAGGACTTGGTGATGCTTTTGAACTCTTGATAGAAATTGGAAAATGAGGTCTGGGCAGCTCCTGCCCAAATATGGTAACAATACTCTATTTTCAACCTGATCTGGCTCTTATAAAGGGAAAGGATGGCATGAGGAGTTAGGTACTTACTAGAGCATTACCGGGAGCTGATCATTTTACTTGTACCTTTGGCGATGGATTGTATACAGGAAATTCACTTGGTCAGGTCGAGACACAGGGCCTCCTCAAAGGGACATCCATTCATTGTGACTGGTGGTAGTTCAGGGTCTGATCATTGGTGATGGAATTTATCTGCATTTAAACAAAATTACTTCCCGAGCAAAATGAACTGTTTAATTAATCAGTTCCTTTACTCCTACGTTTCTTAGATTGCAGTCTTATTTGTTCAAGCTTTTCATGTGAGGCACTCAGATACCTTTGTCTATTAAATGATCATCTTGGTCTTGAAATAGGCTTTTTCACTGTCTTTTTCGTTCTGCTGCTAATTTATATTGAGTAAAAAGCGATTTATATGATACCAGGGGTAAAGAATCATAGATACCATTCAATGCCTAAAAAATCTAAAGGGAATGGATTAATAAAATGATTCATTGGCATCTATTTTAGCTGTGAATTCTTTATCTCTGCTTTAAGGAATCTCAATACATTGTTTCAAGACTTTTGTTTCATTGCATCTTACTATTAAAACTTTCTAACACTTTCCATCATTGTTGACAGCACGGGTACACTAGTATGTTAATAATTTCTACCATTGAAAAAATGTTCTTATCTTCTGATTTAAATCAGAAAACACATAAATGTAATACTTTCCTTTTTTCTTTATGAATGTTCACCCTATACAAGGCTTCATAAATGTGTGAGATAGATTCTAGCAAGAAAAATTATCTAGCACAACACAGGAAACCAACTTTATTATCAGCAGACTTAGCAATTGATTCGATATAATCTTTCCACGTCATATCAGCTGAAAATGTTAGTGTGAGAAGGCACAATGAATCACTCTTGTGGAGATCAGTATCAGCCAAAATGATAGATGATGATTAAAAGAGAGATGCTCCATTTTGGAGATGTTACAACTAACAAGCTCCAGTTAACAACAGAAAGTAGATAATTTTTTTTAGATCAGTTGCCAATTTGAGCTTATCGGCCTTTACTATGAAGACAGGACATTTCTGCGTGATCAATTTATTACTTAAGAACAATTTAAAACTGAACCCACATTTTTTTATTCAGTAGAATTTTATATTAATTTATTCATGCTGTCAAATATAGTGACATATATGAAATTGATATTTTAAGTAATTACTTTTATTAGAAGGTTTTCTGATATGAGTTTCTTTTTTAAATATATGATTGATTCATTTTCTAAGGTTTATCAATGCTTTGCAGGTTATTTAAAGCCATAAAAATATTTTTAGATTGTAAGAAATTATTATGTTGGCAGAGATAATAATGGTTCAGGGATATAAGTCTTACTAATTAATCCATAGTTGGGGAGAGAAGAGGTAGATTCCTAAGTTTCCCAAGGGTATTAGTGTGGTAGTGAATTTAACGAACCCAGCAGAAACTTGAACTGGGCTCTCTCCGATTAGCAATTCCAAGCCATTATCCATTACACCACCTGCACATCCAAGCTTACAGCACCTGGTATTCCCAAGCAGTCACCCATCTAAATATTTACCAGGCTTGATGTTGCTTAATTTTGGGGATCATATGGGAACTGGGATTTCACTGTGATATGGCTGTAAGCCATTTTCAAATATATTTTTGCTAATTAATATATTAATAACAATGCAAAACAGATCCCCCACTTTATACCCATTAAAATCTTATAATACTGCTAATAGTGTTGGCTCAATGAAAATGATATTTTGTTAAGTCCTTACTATTAACAAAGAGTTTACATATCTTTCTTTCTTTTTATATGCCTTGTCCCTTCAGGAAGTGGGTGATCATGGCTCTTCACTTCCTCCATCCCCTGTAGCTTTTAATAAGTTTCATCCCTCTGCTACCTCCCCCAGACCATGGTCTGTCATCCTCTTAATTAAGCCCACCAGGTATGTCATGTGTTGCTTTCACTTGTCTCTCTTTCCCTCTATTTGCCCTGTGAGTATCAGATTCTCCAGGCCCTCCTTTCTCATTACGTGTTCCAGAAATTTCAGCTGTCTCTTCCTGATGTTAAGTATAAGCTTCCTTCTTGTTTGCATCCTCTACAAAACCTCATCATTGCTCATACGCTTGATCCATGATATTCTTAGCATCCTTCTATAGAACCATATCTCCATTACCTTGAGTCTTTTCTTCATTTTTGAGAAGACTATTCGACATTCGCTGCCATAAAGGAAGATAGATGTCACGTAGCAGATCAATATTCTTTTTTTTTTGTTACCAAAGAACACCTCCTGTCTCATAATATACATCTTCAGATCTCAGTGTCACACTTACTGTCTTCCATCAAAACATTTTCCAGATATTTAACTTCCATACATGCTTGATTTTAGTGTCCCCAAACTGCAAATTGCACTTTGGGCTCATCCTGTTATGAATACATGTCTTTAAATGTATTTTTTAGAATTATAATGTAAATTTTTTTTAATCATTCCATCTCCCACTACCTCCAAGCAAGGTGATGATGCCACTAAGACACAAAGGGTTACTGAGAGTGAAAGAGAATGACACTTTAGCAAGGAGAAAGGACAATAAAAAAAAAACAGAATTCAGGAAGACAGAAAATTGCAGTTGAAGTTGCATTTAAATTTTTGAAGATTGTAGGTGACAGAGAAGCCAGAAGCCAGAAGAGAACTTAGGGTTACATCTTGCTATTTCAACAGTAAAATGATCAGATCAAATAACCAATATAGTTATATGCTTAAATTCATATAGTCAAAGTACCAAGGAGGAGACCTCATTAGAACAACTGACATGAAAACATTATTTTATCATTTCACCCCAAGCAAGGCAAGAATGCCACTAGTATGCAAAGGGTTACAGAGAGTTAGAGCAAGAGTAAAGAGTGTGTTTGAGGAAAGGATATACAGCGTGTTCATAAAGTTCGTGTGCACTTTAAAAAATTTATAACTTTATTTATATTTGCGATAGAAATAATCTGTAAAAAATGTTATAAAGTTTAATGTAATTAGTTTTAAGTATAGCTAAAATAACTAATGTGATTTCAGGCATTACTGGAAATCAGTTGGCAAATGTTTTCCGTAAACTGCAAAATCGTATTACCCATGTGGAAACTTAAATAAAATTACAATAAAACCTTACAAAATATAGATTTACTTCTTTCTAATCCTTTTTATAAATTATTTCTATCGCAAATACAAATAAAGTTATAAATTTTTTAAAGTGCACACGAACTTTATGGACACCCTGTATAGAAGGACAGGGATCAGGATCAAGGCATCAGAAGATGTTGATTGACATTACATTTAAATATTTGAAGATTATAGCTATTAGGGAAGCAAGTAAGAGGAAGGGAGTTCCACTGTCAGTAAGTGTGAAAGAAGAAGCTTTTGGAGTAGAAGAGGAAGTTACATTTAGCTGTTTCAATAGTGAAAGGGTGGGACCAAGATGCCAACCTAGTAGCATGCAGTTTGGGTACCAGTGAAAGTATCTTGTCAGAGCAGTTATCATGAAAATATTTGTAGAAAAGACAAAGGGAAGCCACAGTACATCTGTGAGAAAGTGATTTGTAGAAAATACAGAGGGAGGCCATGTCATAGTGATAGGAAAGTGAATAAAATAGCAGGAAGCTGATGCCTTACTTCATACCCTGGAGGATCTTATATTAATACCCATTGACCTATGCCATCAAAAATGATAGTATAATATATAATTGGCAAAGTTCAACATACATACTCAAAAAAAATGGTGAATCAAAAGTATATTTTTTCTCTTTTTGTTAAATCATTTCCCCCCAAGCAAGGTAATAAAGCCACTAAGATGCAAGGGGTTACTGAGTGTTAGAGAATATGAGAAAAAACCCTATTAAGGAGAGAGAACAATAAAAGAATAAAAATTAAGAAGATAATGTTTGACATTGCATTTCAATTTTTGAAGATCAAACTTGACTGGGAAGCAAGAAGCCGGAAGAGAGTTCCACAAGTGAGAAGCGCAATAGAAGAAACT